AGCCATGTCCATGAAGATGCAGGCATTATCTAAGTGTATTATACAGTATTGTGGGGGCTCCTGGTGACAGGAGTGATCGCGAGTCATGTTACCAGCATCAGGCAGGTCGAGCACACCGTAGCTTGAGCCCATGTGTTGATTTTGAGCCCATGTGTAGCTTGAGCCCATGTGTAGCTTGAGCGGGTTGTGTTGATTTTGATCAACGCTCCATTTGGTGATGAAGTCTTTCCGGATCGTGGATGGGTCTGCTGACCAGACGTGGGTGTGATGGACCCAGGTCGCGACGCCGTCTATCTATTTTGAGAGCGGTGGGTGTTGTCAGCACCACAGTGTAGGGTGTAGGGACCTTTCCAACGTGGCTCCAGGGTCTCAAGGTGGTGCCTTTTGACATAGACCCAATCTCCTGGTCTGTGCTGATGAGGAGTTGGGGTTGGGCCGGTCTCCTGGGTGGCGCCGAGGCACAGCCAAATGTCCTCGTGCGCCTTCTGGAGCCCTCTCAAGGAAAGAGATAGTTCTTGCAGCAAGAAAGTCAGCTTTAAGGTTAGGAATGATAGGGGGTGGCCTGCTAAACATCATAGGAGAGCCACCCAGTCCCCGCCAGTTTCCGTGGTTCCTTTTTACCTGCCCTGAACTTTGGGGTCTATAAGCACAATGTAATTTCCAATTTGCCCCAATAGCCCTGGTTACTACCTGCGTTGCCCTTTGTGGCAGAGCAGCAACCAGGCCTCTTTCAAGGGAGTGCGCTAGAAGGAGATATCAGCCCCTCCTTTGCTAGCAGCAACAGGTACCAAACCCTTTCAGCACATTTGACCAGCTTCATTCCCGCCCATCTTTACAGATTCCAAGGCCCATTGTCTTCCTTTAATCAGTAAGCCAAATGACACTGGCCTGTATTATCTAATTCAGCACAGGCAGGGGGAAGGGCCCATTAAATCTTTGCCTTGAGGAACTGTGAGCCCCACCCTTAAATGTCCCAATCAGACTAGAAAAGCCACAAATACCTTTTAAATCTACCCCAGAATTCCAAAATCCCAACTCAGCACAGAATGTCACATAGCAAATCAAAGTTCCCAGCAAACA